GCCCGCGGGGGCCTCAGGCGGGGATTTGGGGGGGGACCCGGCGGGGGCCCCGGGCGAGGGTTTTGAGGGGGCCTTTGGGGGGGCCCCCGAGGGGGGCCCTGGCGAAGATTTGGGGGAGGCCTTTGGGGGGGCCTCTGGGGGGCCCCCGGGAGAAGCACCAGGGGGGCCCTTCGGGGGGGCCCCTGAGGGGGCCTTGGGCGACGATTTCGAGGGACCACCGGAGGGGGCCCCTGGGGGGCCCCCGGGGGGGCCCCCTGGAGGGCCCCCTGGGGGGCCCCCTGGAGGGGCCTTTTTGGGGGCCCCAGGGGGGGCGTCGGAAGGCGACTTGGAGGGGGCCCCTGGGGGGGCCCCTGGAGACCCGCCGGGGGGCGGCTTGGGAGGGGCCCCTTCTAGAGGGGCCCCCGGGGGGGCCCCTGGGAAGCCCCCCAAGGGGGCCCCTGGGGGGGCCCCCCCGGGGGCCCCTGGGGGGGCCCCTGGGGGGGCCCCTGGGGGGGCCCCCACGGGGGCCTCCCAGTACTGCCAGGGGGGCCCCTCGGGGGCCCTCAAGAGATATATGGCGTTGACGAAGAGGCGGGAGAGCAGCAGGTGGCAGCAGCTGGAAACAGCAGCAGCACTGACGAAGTTCATGGGGGCAGGGGGGCCCCCCAGTACCCTGGGGAGTCCGGGGGGCCCCCGGGGGCCCCATCTGTGGGGCCCCTGGGCATCTATGCAATCTGTTAATAAGTATAAAAGGCCCCTAATGGTACTTGGCATTAAAGCGAAGTTCATGGAAGTCAGAGAGTCCACAAAGAGCTTCAAAGAAGGGTACAGCAGCTCCTCAGGGAAGTCCTCCCCTTGCTGCTGCTGCTGCTGCTGCTGCTGCTGCTGCTGCTGCTGCTGCTGCTGCTCGTCCATGGCGCGCTGCAGGGCCTGCAGCGGGGGCCCCAAAAGGGTAGTGAGCCACTGCACATCTGGGGGCCCCAAAAGGGTACTGGGGGGCCCCAAAAAGGAGTCAAAGAGGGGCCCCAAAAGGGAAGAAGCAGCAAGGAACATGGACTGCGGCAAGTGGCTCACGCACTCCAGCTCAAACTGCAGCAGCAGCAGCAGCAGCAGCAGCAGCAGCAGCAGCAACAGCGGCAGCAGCAGCAGCAGCAGCAACAGCAGCAACAGCGGCAGGAGCAGCAGCAGCAGCAGCAGCAGAACAAGGGAAAGGTCTTTGCTTCTTGCTGCTGGATATGGGGGCAGCGGAGGAGGGAATAAAGAACTAAACCCTAAACCCTAAACCCTAAACCCGAAAAGAGAAAAAAGAGACTGAAGAGACCCCGAGAAAGCAATTTAGATATCCAAGCAAAGAAACAAGCCGAGCGCAAACCCTAAACCCTAAACCCTAACCTCTGGGTCCCAAGCCCTAAACCCTAATTTGGAGTGGGACAAGTTTCACGCAGCACAGCGGACACCCGTAAACCCCAAACCCTAAACCCCAAACCCTAAACCCTAAACCCTAACCTCGATGAGCTTTTTGATGAAACCCTCGATGTCTCGCATGTAACATGCAAGGTAACAAACGTTCCTGACTAGATCCGGGAGTTCCTGTCTCCCAGCAGCCTGTCCACAAACCCTAAACCCTAAACCCTAAACCCTAAACCCCAAACCCTAAACCCTAAACCCTAAACTTCAAACCCTAAACCCTGCATAACTGTTCCAACCTCTGGCCCACTCTGCGCAGAAAAGGAGAGCGCGCGGGCGCCGTGGGGCTCTGCCTCGCTCCCAAAAGCTCGAACTAGGGTTTAGGGTTTAGGGTTTAGGGTTTAGGGTTTAGGGTTTAGGGTTGCCTTGAGAATGATGAGAATGGGCCTGAAGTCGAGGTCGGAGATAATGGCCCAAAGCTTCCGCGGCAGCTCTTTGGGCAAAATGTGAAGAGGGTCTAAAAGTCCTCGAAGATCATTTAAATCCATTTCTAATTCTCCATTTTGTCTCCTTTGCAATTTGCTGCTGCTGCTGCTGCCAGGCCTTCCTGCTGCTGCTGCTGCTGCTGCTGCTGCCGGCTCCGCACGCACCGTGTTCTCCCCTGCGCACGCAGCACACACACACCCACCAATCCAGCAGCAGCAGCAGCAGCAGCAGCAGCAGCAGGACTGGCAGCTGCAGATGCAAGAGCAGCAGCACTAAGGCCTTTCTCTCAGCAGCAGCAACAGCAACAGCAGCAGCAGCAGCAGCAGCGCCAGCGCATGCAGGGCTTCTGGGCAGCAGCCGCAGCAGCAACAGCAGCCGCAGCAGCAGCAGCAGCCGCAGCAGCAACAGGAGCCGCAGCAGCAACAGGAGCCGCAGCAGCAACAGCAGCAGCAGCAGCAGCAGCAGCAGCAGCAGCAGCAGCAGCAGCAGCAGCAGGAGGTACCTTGCTGCAGGATTTCCTGGCGAATCTGCTGCGTAGGGAGGTTTGCTGCTGCTGGCTCTTCGGGCAGCAGCAGCACGCGGGAAAGTGCATGCACTCGGGGCCCCGGTGCTGCATCATCTGCTGCTAGAAGGGCCCCCCAAGAGGGGGCCCCCGTTTCTTCATCTGAAATAAAAAATAATAAATAAATAAATAAATAAATAAATAAATGGTTTAATTTAATTAATTTGATTTAATTAATTGATTTAATTCAATTTAAAAAATTTAATTTGAAGTTCTGAGAAAAGAGATGCGCGGAAAAGGATGCAGCAAAAGGGTTTTGAGGTGCAACGCGAATAGCGAGTAGCGAGAACAATAAACCCTGAACCCTAAACCCTAAACCCTAAACCCTAAACCCTGGGCCCCGAATTTTAAGCTATAAGACCTCCGGAACAGACAAAAAGAGGCAAAAGAGAAAGATTGAAAAAAATTAAAAGAATTTAACAAAAGAAAAAACAAAAAGACAAAAAATAGAAAAAACAAAAGAAATAAAAAAGACACAAAACAATAAAATGATCCAGAGACAAAAAGATTTACAGAAGAGACAAAAGGGGAAAAGAAGAAAATATAAAAAAGGAAAAAAAAGAAAAGAGAAAGAAAAGGAAAGCAAATAAAAGGAAAAAGAAGAAAAACAAGGAAAAAAACGAAGAAGAAAACAAAAAAACGAAAAATAAAAAAGAAAAAGAATAAAAAAAGAGGAAAATAAAATAAAATAAAATAAAAATAAAAATAAAATAAAAATTCACCTGAAAGAGACAATTCGCTTTCGGAAGAATTTTCTTCTCCAATTTTAATTTCTTTTAGTTTCACCTTTTGGTTTTGCGTCTTCTCAATCCCAGTCAGAAAAACCCGCAGCTGCAACAAACCCTAAACCCTAAACCCTAAACCCTAAACCCTAAACCCTACCCTCCACGTGGGGTCCCACGCCGCCCCCGAACCCACCTCCAGACCCTCTCCAGAAAGCCAAACCGCCCTTACCCCCAGCCCCAACCCCCCCCAAACCCCAAACCCTAAACCCTAAACCCTAAACCCTAAACCCTAAACCCTAAACCCTCACGAGATCATCGTCAGCCACCCGCTCCGCAGTCAACTCCGGCAAAGAAAAGGCTGCAGTCGAAACCCTAAATTGGCCTTCGATGAAAAGCTTTTCCGTCGCCCAAGGCGGGAGGGTTTCGCGGCCCACTTCTATGCGCACTGCGCCCCCAAACAGGTCGGCCGCCTGCCCGCAAACCCTAAACCCTAAACCCTAAACCCTAAACCCTAAACCCTAAACCCTAAACCCGAAACCCGAAGCCCGAAGCGCGAAACCCGAGAGCCAACGGGGAGGGTTTCGCGGCCCACTTCTATGCGCACTGCGCCCCCAAACAGGTCGGCCGCCTGCCCGCAAACCCTAAACCCTAAACCC